TTCTCTTTCTGGTGCACCTGCCGACGCCGATCAAGCCGAGAGCGATGCAGCGCCAGCATCGAGTGCAGTATGAGACCTCCAAAGAACTTGGCCTGCTCTGCCTGGCCGATCTCAATCATGGAAGACGGACATTGGGTAGTCTCTTCCGAAATCAGAAAACGTTCACCCTTGCTCGCGCGAGTCTGCACTCAGACATGGAATGTCTTGCTCATGTGTGATGGACTCCTAATAAGTACACGTCTCATCGATCTGCTTTGTCGCGGCGAGCCGGGGCTCGAACAATCTCTGATGATGGACGCCAACGAAGCCGACTAGCGCATCATCCGCGCGCCTTACGAGCGCGTCGACTTTCAAATTCGTGCCATTCTCCCTCGACGGCGGTGAGTATGCTGCACGAGGAAGCAGAAGACAGCAGAAGCGATGATGAGATCTCAAGGCGTGGGGCCAGTGTCGCAGCTCATCGCATAATTGAGGGACTCACCCAGCTGGTACTTCGGGCTTTGGAAGCTCGTGCGTGAAGTAGGACATGCTGAGCGCTTGACTGGCTGTCGCTCGTCTGGCAGGGTTATACGCGAGCAAAGCCCATGCCACCGAGAGTGCGGCAGGCGAAAGCCACCTTGCAAACATCGAAGCAGAAAGCGTTGAATGGTAAGTTGGATTTGAAAGTCAATTTCAACCCTCAAGACACTCACTTGCTGAACATTTTCCGAAAGCGTTTCTCGCGGGCCTGCAGTCCTACGCCAGCATTAAGACTGGCGTCTTGTGCTGCTCCGTGCGACGAAGTGGGCTCTTCGACCTGGGAGGGCAGTGGCTCGCTGCCGTGCTGATCTAGACTAGTAACGGGCTTGACAAAATCATACCAAGGCAGCGCTTCCACTTCGGGCCACTCGCTCGCTGGCACCAGAGCACCAAAGGTGTCGTAAATGACCTGCACTTGATGGATCTCGCTGTTGCCAGGCAGCACAGGACGTCTGGTGAAAAGCTCTAGAAAGATGCAGCCTGCTCCCCACATGTCGATCTCCGGTCCGTATCGCGTAGCACCGAACAGGAGCTCAGGCGGCTTGTACCACACCGTCACCACGCGGTTCGTATAATCGTCTGCCCGCCTTTTGGCATAGAATCTAGCCAGGCCGAAATCCGCCAGCTTCAAGATACCGTGGTTGGAGAGGAGAATGTTGGAGCCTTTGATGTCTCTGTGAAGCACCGATTTCTTGTGCAAATATTCGAGCCCTCGCAGGAATTGACGAGACAACGACTTCAGGTGTGCGGCGCTAAACTCGATCGACGGATGTTGAAGCACTCCATTTAGATCGTGCTCCATGTATTCGAAGACAAGATAGATTGACCCTGGGTCATATATACCAGGTGGCGGTCGAATCAGAGGTCGGACTTAGCGCACGAAGCTCCTGGGCGCACACTCACCTTTGGACACCATCATCTCGTGCAACCTGACCACGTTCGGATGTCGCAGGTGCTGGAGTAGCTTGATCTCCCTCATTGCCGTGACGGGGAACCCGTCCTTTTCTGCCTCCATGCGAATCTTTTTCAGAGCGACCAAGGCTCCAGATCTCTCCGCACGTGCCTTGAAGACCTGTCCGTAGGTGCCTTCTCCAACCTGATTGATACGTGTATACGTTTCGTCCGGAAAACCACGGGTTGGTTGCGCAGCCAAGCTCGACATGTCCGGCTCAGGCGAAGGCGTGAAAGCTTTGGGACCGGGCGACTGCGGTTCCTCTTTCTGCCCTGATTCTACTGCTGTTGTAGGAGCTCGTCCGGACACGTCTATCATGCGCTCCCCTTCTCCGGCTTCACTGACCTGCACTGATTCCAGAGGGGCAGAAGTCGGCTTTCCTCGCGAGATTACCGTCCAACCACCTCTGCGAGGCGGATATTGAGCATCGCCAGCGTCATCGCTGCTTCGCAGGACAGCATGCCGAGCCTCCGGGGATAAGCTCTTGCGAGCCAATAATCGCGCTTCAGAAGACGAAGAGGAGATGGCAGGGCTTCTTGCAGGAAGAAGCTGCTTGTGTGCTAACGACGAAGGCGTCTCGGAAATGGCACCAGATTCGGTGCTGGATGATTTGATTCGCTCGCGGTGAGCCGCTGGAGGGGCCTTCGGCATCCCCTCCATTGCCAGCTCGCTGCTGGTAGCGCCAGGCAGTGGTCCATTGCCGGGCTCTACGCGACCGTTGCCGACCTGAGAGATTTCGGGGCTATGGGACCGGCGGGGTGAGCCTGAGCCATAGGAAAGTGCTCCGATCGAATTTGCTCGCGGGGCGGGCGGCGGCGCACGAGAAGGGCGCGAAAAGACGTCAAGAGCCGAGCTGCGAAGAATTCAGTGTGTCTAAGCTCACGATGCCTTGGCGCTCAGGAGGCACTCGCAGAGGTGCCTGTTAGAGTGATACCCCCGGGCGCACGCGTAGTCGCAGCGCAAAATTGAAGATACAACTAACTCACCCATTGGGGCCTTTGCCCTTGCTGGTTGCATCTTGGCTAGCATTGCGGAATTTATCCAAATTCTCGATACCTGCAGCGCTTGAAGTCGGTCGGCCATTTCTGGCTCTGGGGTCGAGTTCTTTCTGAGACGCTGGCGGCCGTCTGGGAGATCGAGATCGAGAGTGACGCTCTCGCTGATCCCTTTCATCTTTCTGCCGAGTAGTGCCGTGCTGCCTGCTGCGATTTGGGCTGCGACTGCGTGATCGAGCGCCTCTCAGACGCTCATCAGACCGATGGTAAGAACAGTTTCTTCCATCGTCGTCCTGCTTGTTTGAAACTCCTTCCCGTGCGCGTTCGCGTTCGCGGTCCGGCCTGCGGTCCTCTTCGCGCGTGGCATATCTCGTGCGATCACGAGATCGATCCCGCTCACGAGACAGGCCGAAGCTGTCAGCACGCGAACTTTTAGGCAAGCGCCTATCGACTGTGGACCAGTCAGCATTACTTTTAGAAGCGTCAGGTAGGGGCGCAGGCTTGTTGAAGACGGCTAAGGCTTGTCTGTTCGCTCTAGGACCTGTAGGCACGCCTTCATAGCTGCCATCTGCATTGCGACTGCCGAGGCTTTTGAGATGGTTGTTTGACGACGCCTGCGCCGTCTCCTTCGCCCCGGCATCGGCCCCACTCGGCTTGGAGGTGTGCACACTTCTCTTTTCGGCGTGCACGCGCGAATGGACGCTGTTGCGGTCATCGCAAGACCGATTCCGCTCCAATCGGCGACCTCTGCTGATCGTAGCTGAGCGAGGCGAGGTGCTGCTCCCACTGCGGCTGCGAGCCCGCTTTCTGGAGGAGGATTCAATGCTTTCACTTCTACTCCTGCTCCTGCTCCTGCTCCTGCTCCTGCTCCTGCTCCTTTCATCCTGTTTGCGCGCTCGGTCCAGCCTTTGGTCACCGTTCGCCTTGCTGGTGTAGCCGTCCCTGCTGGCAGCATCATCGTCGTCATCCTGCAGTCGCGCTTTGCCTTTCCAGTCTGCTGCTCTTGCTCGATCAGCGTTGCTGGTGGATGCTGCGGGTGAAGGACGATAGGTACTCGCGCTATAGTCTCTGCGTCTACTGCTACTTCCAGACCCTCTGCCTGACTGATACTCGGAGACCGTGCTGACATCTGCGTCGTGCCCACTTCGCGATGGAACGGGTGCAGCTGCTCTCTCCCTCCGAGCAGCTGCTACTGCGTCTGGGGATCGAGGTCGAGAGCGAGGAGGAGGAGGATGCAGTCCATACCGCCCGCGATATGCCGAGGGTCTTGGCGGTGGGGCTCCATAGTAGCCGTAAAAGGGCGCCATGGTGTGAGCACACAAGTGCGTGGGGTGAGATGACCACAGATTGTCGTTCGTGTCGCCTGCTTGTGGCTCTGCTCGAGCGACCACCCGCGCGCTAGCGATGTGCAGGGCAAATTTGCGCCTTTTCGAATGAGATATTAAGCGAGCACAGTGTAGCTACCATGGATCGTGAGAGTCTGAGAGTCGCTTTGATGCTCTGAATGCGACTTCGGACTTGGATAGCTGCACAGGCGCCACTTATTCGTGGCACCTCGGGCGTGCGGCAGCGTTGATATCGAGGCGGATCAGCGCGAAAGCGCAGGTCAACGGTAGCTCGTAGGGAGCAGTCAATTGTGCTGTGTAGTCGCCCAAGGGCCGAAAGGGCGAAAGATGACGATCAGGAAGATGTTCAGGTCTTCGCCGTGCGATTCGTGCGGCTCCGACTCAAGATTTGCGACTTTTATTCGTGATTAGTAATGTCGCCAGGCGCGTCATTACGAAAGTGGTCCTTCAGACGGTTGACAAAAACAGAGAGATTTGACTTTTGAGGGTATTCTGTCACGTGGTTCTTAAGAGAATTCAAGGTTGGAATCTTGAAATCAAGATTTGATTGAGATTTTTGATTTGGGGCATGCAAGATTCACAATTGAGCGCGAGAGGCTTGAGGGTCTGTGCGGGGGTGGCGCGCCTACAGTTTGATGAGTATATGTATGGTTGCTGCAAGCGACCCTAGTCAGATGGTGGAGCTACACGCGAGTTGCGCTGCATTCACGCTTCACTATTGTGATTCATCCCGATGAATGCTATGCTGAGTCACAAGTCAAGTGACCTCTTCATCAAGGCGCGTCCATGACATCGTATTGCGCACTTGGCATCTGTAACTCTTGACTTCGCATGGCCTTGCCTCATATTCCCTTGAGGCATATCCGTTGAAGCAGCTTGCAGCGCCAATCGCGTCTGTCGAGACGCCATTCTCGAAAGCTCGCAACCTGCTCGTTGATGCTCAAGCTGCCATCGACATGAACACCTCCTTCCCATCCGACAGGTCGGACGAGGCTGGACCATCCACGCTGCGACTAGCTTATGCAGCTCCGAAAACATTCACACCGGGCTTTTATTCTCATCGTACCAACGGCGTGCTGCCCACAGTCGCATCGAGCGCGAAGCTCAGGCGAGTGTCTCAATGGAGCCCGTCTACCATCGGCTCGCTGGACCGTATCGACGTGCTCGGCGGTCTCACCCCAGCCAGAGAGCACATAGGCCACACAGGATGTGTCAATGCTCTGGCTTGGTCATCCGATGGAAGCACATTGGCCAGCGGCTCTGATGACAAGACCGTCTGTCTTTGGAGGCTCGGATCAGATGCCGCGCATCCGAGAGCCGAGCATGTGCATCGTAAACCACCGAACACTCGAAGTGGCCCTCGCTCGCGCCGCACTGGAGGATTATGGGGCGGCAACAGCGGCATTGGTGTACCTGGAGATAATCTGCTAGATGAACTGGACGAGGAGATTGCAGAAGCGAAAGCTGCGGAGCAGTGGCCTGCGCCTGATCTAGGCTTTGGTCTAAGTGGTGTGGTGGAGACTGTGGGTGTTCTTTGCCTGGACTTCGAGTGTTCATCCAGCAAGCTTACCGAGAGTACTGAACATGCTGAAACAGGGACATCGAGCGAACAGTGAGCACCCTCGGTCGCATCGCGCGAATCGAGTCCACTCGCAACTTAGCTGCTTGACCATTCTACTACCCTCGCAGTCTTTTCTGTCAAGTTTGCACCAACGCTTCCCACCAGATTGTTCACCGCAGCTGGTGACTCCGAAATGAGAGTGTTCGACCTGGCGCAGTCTGATGCCCAGATTTTGTCTCACGCCATTACCAAGAGGCAGTACGAGCACGACAATCGAGAAGTGATGGTCTGGCCTCGAGGTGGAGGCGTGTGCACGCGCGTTCTCCGCTGTCACAGCGCGCGGGTCAAACGCATCAGCACAGAGAATAGTCCCGATGTATTTCTGAGCTGCGCAGAGGATGGTGAAGTGCGCCAGACGGATCTCCGGGTCAATCACACGTGCAGCGAGCGAGGTCGTAGCTCGAGCCTATCATTCGCACTGTCGAGCTCGACGTGCCCTTCGCCTCTAGTCCGACATTCGATGGAGCTGTACAGCCTCAGCGTCAGCAAGGTGGAGCCTTGGCTGTTCGTTGTAGCAGGCACGTCCGCCTACGCTTATCTTCATGATCGAAGAATGCTCCCGCGCCTACTGAAACGGGAATGGGGTGAATCAACCCCAGAGCCTGAGCGTGATGCGCTTACGCAGTGTGTCAGACGTTTCGGCAGACCCCAACGACAATGGGACTCTGGTGAGCCGGTCAAATCCGCATTTGGAAGGGCGCACATCACTGCAGCTAAAATTGAAGAATCGACAGGTCGAGAAGTGAGTCAAGGAGTGAAGCGGGCACTTCTCCAATGGGGGTCAACGTTGGGCTGACTTGCTATGAATTGTGCAGTTGCTCCTTTCTTACTCGGATACCGACTCGACCATTTATCGGTGAGCTTTCTCTAGAATGCTTTTCGTGCGGTGCGAAGTCTGACACTCTGTGTTCGGCCTGTAGATTCAATCTGTACGACGAGCCAGAAGAGATGCATCATCCCGAAGCCAGCCAATGGGCGGTGCGAGAGCAGGAGCGTAATAGAGCGAGTGAAGCCAGAACTTCTGCGCAGAAGATTCATAGCAGCGGAACATTGGATGACAACCACACAGTCGAGCGGTTCAGGCGTCTGGTGGCTGCCAAGAAAGCTTTGCCTCTTCCAAGGAACATACGATCAGCGATCGTCGGTCTGCTATTTCCGCGACGGACGCTCAGCGAGGGCCGACAAGCAGAGGCAACCGCTTACGTCGAAAGGTACAAAGCTATGCAAGCCGCCTCGTCGGAAACTCTCCCTTTATGCGTCTGTGAGACTCTGCTTCTGCTCCAGCGATTGGACGAGCCAGCTGCAACAGAGACCTTCGTGCAGGGAAGAAGCCGGTACTTGGAGACAGCTGTAAGAGCGAAGGAGCTGCTCCAAAACGCAAGGTCGAGCGAGGATGAAGAGGAGGACCAGGAAGAGGACGAGGACGATGTCGAACCCGCCATGGATGTCTCGAGTAATCTACTTCTTCTCCTCGAACGTCTGGTCGATGATGACAAGGCTAGGAACACTCCTGATATCCCCACATTTCAAAAATTTCTGGAAGTCTTCTTCGACGAGGCGGAAAGTGTGCTACGGGCGTTTTGGGGCAGCAAGTGCTTCGAGTTTACAGATCGGATGCGACTTTCGGGGCAGAGTGATCTGAGCTCGGATGAGGACCCTTCGATCAGTACTGTTGCACCTCAAGCTGCCGAGCAGAGCTGGCAGTGGACGAGCAATTCTGGACAGTCTCACGCGCCCCATGCCTTCGGTTCAAACCCTTCACAGCACCAATCTCGACAGCAGGTTTGGAATCGCGCAGACAGCTGGGAAGACCCTCCCGAAGATGGCGTCGCGAATTGGAGAGAGGCTGTGCCACGACCAGAGATAAGAGGAGAGTCTGACGTTCATCCTCGAACAGGCCCATCTTTCGCTCCATGGGACGGCCCGGATGAAGACGAAGACATGCACGCAGAGCTCGAACGGCCGCCGGCTTTCCCCTTTGCAGAGGCACACCTCAATTTGGCGCATCTCACCCAAACCAGGAACCTTCTGCCGAGCGCAGCCGACGAGGGCGATGACGCCAACGAGTTATTTGCCGAGTTCGAGCAGCAAGACGACGATGACGAGGTCGAAAGCACTGCATACGGTAATGGTGGCTTGGACGACGACGATGAGGATATGGAGCCTGGGGGTTCTGACATGTTGGACGTGTATGAGGAGGAAGAGGAAGAAGACGAGGACGGGGACTCTATGGTCTTTCCCACGCGACCCGTCTCGGATAGCAGCAAGTTCGATGAAGCGCCGATGGTGTACCCACGCGCGCGATATCAGGGCCACATCAACCGGGAGACAGGTGCGTTACTGCTCCTCTGACCTGTTGCGATTGAAACTTCAATGGTCTTACTCCTCATTCTCGTCGGCAGTCAAAGACGTCAACTTTGTCGGGCCGTATGTCGCATCTGGCTCGGACGACGGGCGCCTATACCTCTACGATCCGGCCAGCACACAGCTGAAAGCTGTAATCTGTGGAGACAGCCACGTGGTCAACGTCATGGTTCCCCATCCGACTTTGCCCGTCATTGCCGTCTCTGGCATCGATGATGAGATCAAACTCATCAGTGCCACCTCTTATGTGAACAGCGTCGACGGAGGGGTGTACCGAGAGTCGAGGGAGCATGCGGAGGGGCTTGCGGAAGCCAATGAGGCCGAGACCGAAGGGTGAGTCCTTCAGCTGCGCCATTGTACCATGGGGTCGCCTGTCTGATGTCTTGATCTGCTTTTGGATCGCTTCGCAGGCGCTCCGGATCTTATCCAGGAGGTTTGCTAGCCATGCTCGGTGGTGTGAGTAGACACGCACGCCACAAACATAGATTTGCCGATCTAGCTTATGCAGCTCGCCTTTCTCGTTCTCGTTCTCGTTCTCGTTCTCGTTCTCGTTCTCGTTCTCGTTCTCGTTCTCGTTCTCGTTCTCAGCATCTACGGCAGATCAATGCCGATGGCGAGGCAGTGGAAGGAGATTGCGGCGTCATGTGACCATTGAAGGACATGCAGCGTTGCTGCGCACGCGCAAGCACACCCATGATCGATTGTCCACGAATATCAGCGGGTCCAGGCTACTTTCTCCTGTCTCTGACCTATTGCTGTGTACTAAACTCTTGCTGAGAACTACAAAATGAACTCATGATGGCGGTGACTTGGCGGATCACCTCACTGCGTCAAGCTGCATCCCAACATCACGAATGGAAACGCAGGACTGCTGAGCGGTCAGTCGCACCGCGTACAGTCAGCATGCAGGGTCGTGCTGGGTGTCGCAATTAAGCACTTCAGTCTGAGCACGCTAGACTGGCTCCTCTCAATCAATTGCGCCGTTGTGCATTAGCGCACTGCGCCTGAGACCAGCAGCAGCGCGCGAAGCTGCAAGGCGAATCGCACCATGTGCCAGACTGCTGATCTTGGCGCAATGCTGGGGCCACTGACAGTTCCACTCTTGGCTCTGACGGTGCGGGGGGTGCGAGCCGTGGTGATTGCGAATAGGAAAGCTCCCACGCGTGCAACTAACATTAACACGGCGCCGCGCCATCGATGACTTTGAGACTCGTGATCGTTGTATGCAGCCCGTCAAGTTTCTCCATGCCTGTTCGCGCGGCTGGGAAGCGCAGATGTCGAATGGGCGAAACTAATTCGAATCGACGCAGATCATTGGAGATCAGCGAATGGTCGATTCAATCAACGCAGCCTCTTCTGTTGCGGTTATATTTGACACCCAGATTCAACTAAGGGCTTCGAAGATTCACGATTGCGACAAGACTCATTGACTCAATCTTGCCTCTGACTGCGAAATCAGTCCTGACTGCGTGAACAGTGCCTTTGCTGGGCTTCACGGCCGGAGCGAGGGCGGGGGCAAAGCGCCCCGAATTCAATCTTAAGGTCGATTTGGAGCTCGCGATGTGACTCGATGTCCGAGAATAGCCTGCCTGCATGTATAAGCTTGATTCGATCTGGACCAGCACTGACAAAGACGCCAGGTACGATGGGTACGGCGCCGTGTTTCTCGGATCGTGAATATTTGTTCGAGGTCCCCAATTGCAGCCACACCGCGCGAGCCTGATGCTGATCTGATGCAGCTATTCGGGTGAGGCACACTCAAGTGATTCGGCTGTATATACAGACGCGAGATGGCCAGCTGCCAGCCAAACACCAGGCAAAAGAGGGGTCTGAATCGAAGTCCCATCATCAGCTTCCTGAGGCAGGCTGCGTGCTGACGGAGCAAAGCCGCGCCTTGCCTATGCTGCTCACATGCTCATGCTGAAGTGCGCTTGACAAGGCAGCTTTGCTGCACAGCATGCTGTACGTATAGAGGTAAGCTCAGAAAGGCGCTTGCTCTCCCGGCGTTCGCCTTTTGAGCCGCGCCGCGGTCGCCCTCGACCTCCTGCCAACCGTCAAACGAACGAGCGGTGTTGTGCCTGCATGCATGCATAAACCCGTGCTGCATGATGCATGAAGAGCCGAGACGCCGCGACGGCCCCTCTATATACTACAGGACTGTACATACATACAGTACAGAAGTCTTGAAGTGCGCGCTGTACTGTACATATTTGGACATGGATGCATGCTGCTTCCAGCCTGCACGGCTCAGCCTCTTGCGACCACGGCGTGGGTGCTGAGTCGCCAAGTGCCTCATCCGCCCTTCGACCCCTCCCTGATCATCACTTCTGACTGGGCGTTGCCATCGTCGATTCTCTCATGCAGCGCACACAAGCGCCATCATGAAATGAGCCTCCTAGGGTCGGCCAGTCTTGGACCTCGACTCCTTCCCGCGTTCACGCTGATCGCATTTTCACACTCGCTCACCGTACCCCAAATAGACAAACACACGCGAAGTTCTCCTCTTAGCAACTACAAGAACCCTCTGTGACATCATTCGCTCCCACTACGCGATTGCTTTTGCTTGCAGGCACAGTCAGCGCTGGCTTTCGACTGGCCGTCCCGCTCCAATAGAAGGAGCTGCGTCACCCACACATCGAGTCGCACTACTCCAATAAGGATCCTTTGCCGTGCAACAAATCTTGCTGGAGTTGGGACGTCGACTAGGGGCACGCACCTTAGTATCACCAGCGTGCGCTGTGCGCACCTGCCCGCAATTCTCCTTCGCTTCACCCACTTTCAAGATGGTTCAAGCACCCACCATGTCTCGGCGCAGAGGCACACCTACGCTGGACTTGCCCCCGACGCTCGCCAAGCGAGCCTGCGCCTCGTGTCCTACAGACATCAAGTGTCCCGTCTGTCCCAAAGGTCAGACGTGCCAGCAGATCTTTCGATCTGCCAAGGACTGCTCCTCTTGCCCCAGCAATGTATGCGTCGCGGATCCCAACTACCAAGCGCCAGAGAGTGGTAGCAAAGCGGGACCGATTGGCGGAGCTGTCGGAGGCGTCATTGGCGCCTTGGCGTTAGCTGCGGTTCTCTTCTGGTTCTGGCTCGCGCGCAAGAGAAAGGCGAGAGCGGAAGCTGCGCGAGCACGTATGGACGCCAAGGTCAGAGCTGCCGAGGCGGAAAAGTTCAGACCCGGCGGCAATAAGCGCGGATCTGCCTCTTCGGCCGGCGCGACCTCCAGCGAGCACCTTTCCTCGCGCTTGCATGGCACGGAGGAGGGAGAGGATGAAGACGAGGAGGATGTCGAGTACACCGAGCTGCGCTCTGATGGCCTCACCACCTACCGTAAGCCAGCAACGAGCAGTGGAGCAGAAGAGATCTTGGTGGATGATACGCTCGACGTGATGGGCTACAATGGAGTGAAACGTCGCTCGACAGGTGCGGCCACTCACCTGAGCCGGATCACCGAGGGTGCAGAAGAGGAAGAAGAGATGGCCAGGCCCAGCCGAGCTCTCTCTTCCCGCAACGGGTTTGGTGGCGCGAACTCCCGTCATCGATCCCTCGGGTCCACTAGCTCAATCAACTTGGATCCATATGCAGGCATCGTGCAGCGTGGGTCGGGCGGTCGGAACCTCCTTCAGGCAGGCTCCACATCCTCGGCAGCAGCGAACCCCTTCTCAGATAGTGCGTCAGTGACAAGCGATGGGTCAGGCAGCACCAAGATCATTCCGATCATGTTCAGTGGGCAGAAACAACAGCGCCAGAGCATGTCCCCTGCTTCAGCGGCGCATCGCAACATGTCTGGTCCCGCGCCCTTGAAAGCTCCTGAGCCTGCGCATCGAGCGCCAGGAGCGCCGCTCATCGACCTCAAGTCGGGCAGCGCTCCCAAGCGCGGCAGCTCAGTGTCCTCTCCTCAAACGACTTCGCCAGGCGGCAGCGTCGTGCTACGCGGCTCATACTTCGCCTCGGGAGCCCAAAGTGCCTCTCCCAGTGCTGGGCCTCCGAGACCAACAAGAGACTCGGAGCTCAATTTGCGCTTACCAGATGGGTCCGAGCCGGGCATGCGCAAGTCTTCGCGCACCAGCGCTGGCACTGCTGCGTCCAGCGCGCTCATGCATTCTGCGCAAGGAGAGCACTTCACCACCTTGATGTCTCCTGCTGCCCCCTCGACGGCGCATTCTCAACAATTCGATTTCCGCAGGACCGACCCGGCCGAGCACGACAACTTTCCCGAAGAGCTGCAGAAGAGCGCTGTGTATGCTCGCAAGTACGCCGACAGGCATCTGAGCACTGCGACCAGCAACACCGCCTCCAGCAGCGGTACCTCGGGATTGGACTATGTGCTGAGCACGCCCAAGATCATGACGCCTGCATCTGCCGCAGCTCCTAAGCGCGTTGTTGTTGGACAAGGCAAGGCGCAGCTGGTTCGCAGCCTGAGCCAGCGCAGGAGGGAAGCTAAAGAAGCAGGCGAACGCACGGATGCGAGTCCTACAGCAACGCCTGGTTCGGAAGCCAGCGATCCCTTTGCCGATACGCGAGCTTCTGCCACAGCGGAGTCAGTGGAGCGAATTCACCCAGATGGCGCTGTCGGAGCTACACAAGGAGAGCGCAGCGACTCCCGGCTGTCTTATGGAACGTTTGGAGGAAACGCACGCGCGAAGAGGTCTATTGGTCCACAGTCATCTACGGACATCGAAGACGACCTCAGCCATGGAGACAGCAGCACGAGAGCGCCGAGTGCTGCAAGCGCATTTACGAGTGACGACGGTACGAGTGGGTGGCGCAGGTACGAGGCTCCACCTTTGCCAACCTCTGGACCATCTCATACAGCCTATGCCTCGGGCGCGCCAACGACGGGCTCGCAATGGACTCAAAGCTCGGCTCCTGGTGGCGGCTTCGAGTCTGCAGCGCCAACGACCGGGACACAGTGGACACAGTCCTCACCAGACGGCTCAGCCCCTCCCACGATGGACGACATCAGGCCCGTATCCACAATGTCGTTTGGCCTACCTTTTGTCGATTCTGCTAGCCGAGGTGTCAGAGAACCGCAGGGCAACAGTCCTCGCGATGCGGCTGGAGACCCAGAAGATCGCAAAAGCTACTGGACTTTTGATGGGAACCGCGACTCGAGAGCAATGAGCTCCACATCAGGCCGACCGGACTCGACCATCAGCGCGGCGCCATCGGGGACTGGAGGTATGCTGGCGAAGCGTGCGACTGCAGCCTCAGCTGCCTCACGCCCAGCATCATCGGCTACCACCGCTTTGCGTCAGAGCACGGCCAGCTCAATTGGTGGCTTGAGCGTCTTCGACGGCATCCCATTCGTGCACTCCAACTCTGCAGGGGAGGAAGAGGTCAGGGAACAACCTGCACTTCCTGAAGACTTTGCTGGTAACATTGCGCGCGCTCAGGCGGCTGACGTGGGCTCTAGAGATGAGCTTGAGGTAGCCAACTCTCGGTCTGTCTCCCGCACGGCATCTGCGCGAAACGGAGTCAGAAACGTAGACGAGATCGAAGAAGAGGAGGAGCAGGACGACGAAGAGGATGAAGACAGTCTTGAAGCTGCAGTCATTATGGACCGCTCGCCCATGCTTGCTGCAAAGAAGGTGTATGCAGGCAAGCCTGAACTGCGCTCCGCCTCATCAAAGACAAGTCTCAGGAGTCAAAGCAGCGCCAAGTCGAAAGACGGCGCCTCTCTGAGCGCTCCCGCTCAGCCCAAAATCGTCAACATGGGCGCCAATACCGACTTTGAGTCGCTCAGACTTCAACACGAGCTGGCACAGTATCCCTTTGCAACGTACAGTCCGCCGGGCAAGGACGGATGAGATGTGAATCAGTTTTTGCTGAACAAGTCCACGCGAGGTGGCGAGCCTTGGCCCTTCATGGGACGCCCTGATATGTTCACAGTCTTGTGCGCAGCTCATGTGTTCTCGCTCATCGTACAATCTAGCTATCTTTTGGTTTTTTCTCCGGTGATTACCCGCCCTCTCCTTCCTTGCACCGCTGGTGATGGTCGAGCACTCCTCAGTGCAGCGTTGCGCGTCACAATCATTATTTCAGAGAAGCAAGAAACACAATTACAATCACATTCTTTCCGCTATCGATTGATGAGGTGGGACCGACGTCGAGCTTGCGCAATTTTGCGAGGAGCGGGGGAGCAGATATTGCGCGCAGTCTATTGAGAGCCGCAATGTGCCGGGCGCCTAGACCAAGTACCTCTGGGGCCTCCGACGCACCACGGTGCGCGATGGGCCGGAAAAGTCCGACATGGTGTCTTGACGGCTCTTGAGGGTGTGTAGAGCCTTCATGAAGGTGTTGCTCTCAGCCTCATTGCTGGCGTCTTGCGTGGCCGCACCTGCCATCTCGCCATCTGGAGCGATGGTGAGGTCGGTCGTAGGCCCAGCATGATCGTAGGCGGTGCCTTCGGCCTCGTCCAGCTCTGTATCCAGTTGTTTTTGTCGCCTGAGAAGCATGACTCTTAGAGAAAGAGCTGAACCTATGCAGATCAAGAAGCAGAGCGAGCAGGCCAAGTTACCGGGCCAGTAACGCGGGGCGTACTTTTCTCCCCACATGTATGCTCCGACTATGTTGGAGATTTGACTTAGAGCATTGCAAATTGCGATACCGACTGTTCGCTTGTACGTCGGCCGAGAGAGGGTATGGGCGATCCAGCTCAAAATGATCGGGAAAGCAGCACTGTCGGAGAGTGGTAGTTGTCAGGGTCGATGACGGGGTCAGACATCAAAGACCATCACGAGTACTCACTAAGACTGCACCATGAGGAATAGACTCAGGAATCTGCTTCCTAGAGCAGTAGTCGCGGAGGCGATGATGAAACCCGCGATACCAAAGAGGAGAGGAGTAATAATGTGCCATGTGCGCTCTCCGGTGCGATCCGCGTGCAATGCGTTGAGGAGCAAGACAATGACACCGAAGGCCCAAATAGGACATGTGATGAGCAGCGTGGTTGTCTTTTCGAATCCAAGGGTGCTGACGACGGTGGGAAAGTATTGGTTGAAGCTGCGGAAATGAGACGACAGAGGCGTCAATATCGATCCTCACAGGACTTCACTTGACAGCAAGCAAAGCACTTACGTTGTACCAAGAGTGATGGTCGTCTGCATGAGCGTCAAGACCCAAGTTGCAGGATCCTTGACAGCCAACTTGAAGCCATTCATCGGCGTATTTTGTCCATCCTGATCGTCTCCGTCATCTCGTTCTCCTCCATCCTCTGCGATGCGACCTACGGCCAAGGTCCTTTCTTCTTCGGTGAGGAAGGAAGTATTCTCGGGAAAATCAGGCATGACAAGCATGCAAAGGAAACCGATCACGACAGTGCAGGCTCCAAGGATGATGAACAACCAACGCCAGGCGCTGGGATGAAGCGTAAGCGTCAAGTTGAAAAATGGTGAGACATGACGGTAGCGGAAGCGCAAACAGGCTTGCTCACCGAATGCCGGCAGCTCCCTCCAGGCCACCTAGGATGCCTGCACTGATAAGACCGGAGATGGCGTTTGAGATAAGGGAACCGGAGAACAGCAGGGCCACTGCAGATGGATCATGAAACAACGTCAGGTGGGGTGTCATACCGCATTTGCGCCCGACAAGTACACTACGCACTGCGCAAGCTGAGCTCTTTTCTCGTGTACCACTTGCTCAGCACAAAGAGCATTCCGGGAAAGAGGACAGTCTCTGCCACTCCCAACGAGAGGCGAATGAGGATCAGAGAAGCAAAGTTGTGTGCCAAGGAGGTCAGAGCGGAAATTGTGCCCCACAAAATGACTGCGCATAGGATGAACAATCTTGGGCGTCCGAACCAGGCCAGGAGCAAGTTGCTGACTAGCTGCAGAGGGATGTAGGAGACGAACAGAATGCCAATGCTCGTGGCCCATTGAGAATCGTCCAGGTCTAGATCCCTTTGCATGAAGCTCAGTCGTGCCGCGCTGATAGTGTTCCGGTCCAAGTAGTTGCCTGGGGGGCCCGCGAACGTGAGCATCTGTTTCGATCTCGCAAAGTGAGCGCATGCATTGCATTGTTGACTCACATAGGTACAGGATGATGGCGATAGGAATCAAACGGATGTCGATCTTGCGCACCAGACGTTTCTCATCCGCAGCGCGCTGTTGCGCTTTTTGCTCGGCAGTGCGACGAAGGATGTGAGCCTCCACCGCTTCGACATCGTTGGTCTCGCGTTGTACTGCTGCGTCGGTGACTTTTTCGCTTTCGCGAGTGAGATTCTGGCCACTGGGCGAGGATGCGATAGTGACATCTTCCGCCACTGGAGCCAGGCCGCCACCAAGGGCGCGCGGATCGATCGAAGCGTGCGCCATACTGAGCCGATGTCGAGTGGATGGATATGAAGTGTTGGAGATGACGGGGAGAAGGCAGGCCCGATGTTCACGCTAAACCGCAATCTGGCCTTATAAGCGCAAGCACAGTCATGCGGTGGGACACTTTGTTCCGAGGGCCCTTTCGAGTAGAGTGGGTTCTGATGCCGTATGCCCAGGCTTGTAGGTACCGCGGTGCGATGTCTGTCTAGCAGCATCGCGACAAGTGAGCGAGTGGACCAGGAGACGCTTGCGTCTGCTTGGCTCTGACTAGTGGTCGTGCTGACAGTGCGTCTGATCAGCTCTATCCATCTGACGCTGTTCGTGCTCGCATCCGCTTGGTACTTCACATTGTGCACGCAAGAGTCGCCGAAGTTGCTCAAAGAAACGAAGGTCGCATGATCGGAGTGAGTGGAGTGCAGCATCGGTCATTCGGCTGAAAGAAATGCCCTTGCGCCATACAAGGAGCACTCAGTAGGACGGAGGGCGTGCCGATGCTGCGAGAGGCAGAGGAGCTGTGCTCAAAAGCATGGATAGCGTCGTCTCTTTAGGAAGAGACGGCGGGCGGGTCGTTGGTCACGCAGCCGGCGGCGAGCATCTCTTCTGCTTCAGCCTTCTTTAGCGGTTGCTCTTGCTCTTGCTGCTGCTGACGCTGACGCTGCATGCCACAGGTTCGGACAAAAGGAGAATCGAT